GGCTGGGGCTGGGCTCCGCGGAAATCAAAGCCGCCGCTCCCCTCCTCGCCACGCCGCACCCCTGCCGCGCCGCCGCGCACCTCCTCCTTTGTCACAATGTTTTTCAATCCGGTGAAGCAAACTGTCCAATTAGAGCCGGGGCCTCCAGCTTCCATCTTTGCCGACGTTTAATTAACATGCTCCTCTTGGCAGCTGCTGACAAGTTCCAGAAACAGGTTGTAAAGGGTTTTTGTCTTTACCCAGCATGGAAAATGAGGGGTGTTACATCGCGGGGAACATGAATAGGTTGCATTTCATCTCCCTCCTCCCCTCCTTTCCCCCCACCCCCTCCCGGCACGGAGAATGAAGGCCTGAGTGTGTATGTATGTGTGAATTGTGAGGGGGGCGGGGAGGGCGGATTTGGAGGCAGGAGAGACCTTCTCCTCCCTCTCCCCTCACCCCTTCTTCCCTGGAGTCTTTGCTCCACAAAGGATCTGGATTCTGCTGCTTCTTCGCCAGCTGGCACACTTTCGCCTCGCGTCTCTTTTAGCCATACCAAACCTCGCCATGTTGATTCCTATCTCTGGGTCTCTGCCTGTGCCATCCTTCTGGTAAACTCCTATTCAGCCTCCAAAACCCTGCTCCAGTGACCTGCTCTGGGAAGCCCCCTGGGCATCGGACGGCTGTCAAAGTTCAGGGTGGACCCCAGCTAGACTGAGCCCCCTAAGGGTAGGAAGTGTTAATCTGCCCAGGGTGGTGGCTGGCCGCAGGAAGTGGGGAGAGCTAAACTGCTGAAAACTTCTCCCACTGTGGAGGGAGGGAAGGGTTGGGGTCGGGGGACTGGCCCGAAGGAGCCTTCCCCCCTATTCTCCCACCCTGCCTGAGTGCCCTCGAACGGGAGCAGGGTCACATGAAGGGCATGGTAAACATGGCAGTTTTCATCATGGGTGTGTTTCTGGGATGGTTGATGTGAAGTCAGGAAGGGCCTTGGAGAGAGGCCCCAGCCCAGAAGCTGAGCCTGGGAGGGGGCCCCAAACTGGGGCAGCCTCCAGCACCCCAAATTCTTCCTCTTCAGCCTGGAATGATTTCCCTTGCCTTGTGGGTTGGTGTGGGAGATCAGGACTGGGGCAGGAGGCCAGGCCTCTCAAGTCCTTTTCTCACTCAGATTGGCCCTGTTGGAGCATTCACACCCATTCTACAAAGAACACCAAGAACGTTTATTCACGGAGGCCACCATCTGCACGGCACAGAGTGGTCTGGGGGACGCAGGGAGCAAGGGAGGTGCTGGCCGAGGGGCAGGCAGGGAGTGGAGGAGCCCAGCAGTTGGTGGCTGGCAGCTGCGTTGTCTCCTAAGGAGGGCTCGGGTCCACTGCCAGCTCCCAGCCCCACTCCTGCCTGCTTTTCCCAGGATGTGGCCACCAAGAGCCCTGGAGGCAGGCCTCCTGCAGCCAGAGCCTGGCTTGGATGCCCACTTTGTCTATAGCTCTTCCTCCTCTATTCTCAGGCAGGCCCCCTGGGATGAAGGGGAAGGAAAGAGAGGCACCCTGGGCCAGGCCAGTAGGTGGGGTGCTGCTCGCCTTGCTCTTGTGTTCCCAGCTTGGTCAGCACTGCTCCTTTGGGAGCGCCGGGACAGTCTGTGGAGCCTGCAGGGAGAGAGCCAAGAGCAGCGGGCCACTGTGGGGTCCTGCTATAGCCCCTTGGGCACATTTACCTTTTCCGGACAGGGTGGGCATCAGAGGCAAGGGGTCCCAGCCTCGCTCTTCTCTATCCTGCAACCCCAGCATCCTCTCCTGCCACATCACTCAGCCTTTTGCCCCAGACACAGCTCTTTCCAAGCTCTGTCCTCCAAGGGGATCAAACAGCCCTACTGAGTGTAAAGGTAATGACCTGCAAGGATCCCATGCCCTCCACTTGCACTGTATAGCCTCGAAGAGTCTGAACTTCTCTGAGCCTTAATTTTCTCATCTGTTAGAAAGAGGGAAGTAGTTGCACCTGTCGTGTCGAGCTCTCTGGAGGGTGAGATGCAAAAGGCGGGGCTTGGTGCATTCCACAGAGGAGCAAGGAAAGGTGAGCTGATGGGAAGAAGAAAGGAGACAGAGAGAAGGAAGGAAGAACAAGCCTGAGCTGATCCACTGAATAGAGCCAGACCTGTCATTTCCACTTTTATAGATGAGGAAATTGAGGCTCCGTCTGTGGGTGAGGAGATCCTCAAAATCACAACCAGTAAGCAGCAAAGCCAAGTGTGTAGCCAGGTCACCTTCTATACATTCCTTCCAGTTCAGAGCGCCTTCCATACTCCTGTGCCTGTCCCGGCTTGCAAGGAGTGTGACTCTGAGGCCGCCAACCCCCGCGTGCCCACTCCAATCCAGGCAGGAGGTGTGGAAGCTCACATCCTCATTTCTTGATGCTTTCCTTTTGCCCCTTTGCTGGTGGCATCCAATTCCCAGGCTGGGCCCCCACTGGGAGAACCTGCCCGTGCTCACCTGCTTCTCACCTGCCCTGGGAGTTTAAGGTTCTGAGGGCTTGAGGGTAGAGTCCTCAGGGTGCAAGACCGTGCTCTTTGGCTCCTCAGGCATCTGCAGAGAGAGGAGGGCAGCTCAAAGGGCCTTGTCCCAGGCCAGGCGGATGGGTGTCCCTGGTAGAACTACAACAGCCTGGACAAGTCTGGAGCAGCGTATGCTGTGTGGCGGGCGCCACCTTGTGATCACTGTGCAGAGCGCATGTAGAGAAGCAGGGCAGTCCACACCGGTATCATGCCCTCTACAGCAGGTTAGCCACTGTCCAGGGTGCTGGGGCACTGCAAGGACGAGACGGGGTCCTTGCCCCACTTAGAGCAACGGGAGAGCGTTCAGGTGACGGGCACAGTGACAATATGAGCTGTAAATGCACACGAGAGGCTGATAACCCGCCTGGAGGGGTGGGATTCCGGTTGTGCTGAATGAACCCACTTTTGAAAGATGAGTAGTAGTGTGCCAGGGAGAGGCCGCATGGCAAGCTCCCTGAACAGCAGGAAGGTCCCAAAGTGAGGTGGGGTGAGATGTAGGGGAGGCCGGAAATGGATGGGTAGCTGGAGTGGGGGTGTTAGGGGGGGATCAGTCTTGCCTTGGCTTCAAGGCTTAGATTTGATCTTAAAGACGGCCTCATCTGAGGGCCAGGGGAGCATCTGTCTCACCCCGTCCTCTGGAAAGCCACCTCATCTCCCAGGTAAACCACCCAGGGGCCAGGGGCTGAGGGGACGGCCTGATGGTGGCTCACTTCCACTGACACAGAATTAGATTTCAAAACCGAGCATTGCTGAAGGGTATTCAGCAGATAGAAGGTGTGAACTTAGAATAAATTATAAAGATCAAAACAGAACCAAGAGTGAACTTCTTTGTATGGGAATTGGTAAGTTTTTTAGTGTATTTCATTAGCGGTAAATCCATGTGATTTCTAATTGTGGTGTCTAAAATAGTTTAAGTTCTGACTTTAAATATGGAATGAAATAATGCTGCTAAAAAAAGAAAGTTTATTAAGAATGTAATAACACAGAATAGTTATTACGATAGAGAGAGAGAGAGAGAGAGAGCAGAATCCCAAATTGGGCATATGATCTTCGCTAAGAAAAATCTGGGCGGATTAAAAAAAAACAAACAAACACTGGAGGGACATATACCCAAAATATTAGCAGCGCTTGAATTAGGGTGATGGGATTTCTTTCTAATTTTCTCTATTTCGAGATTTCTCTTAATGGGCTTCTATTCGTTTTATAATAAAAAGATAGTTTAAAGAGAATGAATTCAAAAGCGTTATTAGTTATGTATATGAAATTGGCTTATAGTGGATATCAGTGAAAATTACTCAGAAAACTTTCTGGTGTGGTTTTAAAAATACAGAGCCAAATGAAAGGCGGTGATGAGCAGACCCGTGTCTCAGGGACCACAGACACAGGTTAGGTCCTGCCCCCTGTCATGAGGGGAAATGCAGGTGGCTGTCATCCCCCACCATCTAATGCAGGTAAACACCTGCAACAAGGATTCGTCGGGAGGGAGGCCTGCCTGAAGTCACAGAAAGCCCAAATTGTGGCATGTTTTTAAAGAAACAGAGTTTTGTGACATCCTACTACTTTCAGCTTCTAGAACAATGTTTCTCAAGTTGGGTTTCTGTACCCATACTCTCTGGATGCTGAAAGCAATGGAATGTCGCTCAGTTTTCTGGACCAGAATCAGCTGGGAACTTGTTCCCAAGAGGAGGCCCTACTCAATTACAGTTCTGGGCTGGCACCTGGGAAGCTGCATTTTTACAAGGTCTCCGGGTGGTTCTTATGGAGTCTGAAGCTGAACACCACAGTGTGGTTCTTAATCTGGGCTACATTTGGATTTACCTGGGGAAGCTTTAAAAAAAAAAAAAAAAAACCCAAAAAACTCATAACGTCCAGGTTCTAACCCCAGACCGATGAACTCCAAGCCTCTTAGAGCTGAGGCCTGGGCTCCGAGTGTCTTTAAGGCTCCCCAGGTGATTTCAATGCACGTGGAAGGGCCGTGGTTTTCAGAGGCGGGTGTAGTTTTCATCAGAATCACGTGGAGGGCTTGTTGAAACACAGTGCTGGGGCCCACCCCTGAATTTTGGATTCAGGAGATCTGGGTGGGACTCAAGAACTTGTATTCCTAACACGTTCCCAGGTGCTGCTGGTGCTGGGGAGCACAGGGGATCACACTTTGGGAAGGACTGCTCTAGAATAAAGCCTTCAGCCCCCAAGAGACACACAGCCTCTGGATGGAGGAGCAGGGTGATGCAGGCTCTGTCCCCAACCCTCAGCTTCCAGTCCCTCGGGGGCCCCAGCTCGGCTGATGTGGGCAGGGTCTGTGGAGAAGGGACGCAACTCCCTTTGTGCAGGGGAACAAGGCCCTGGAACTCACCTCCCAGTAGACAGAATCCTCAAAGCAGTTCTCGTCAGCAGGTTGCCCCCAGAATGGCAACTTCAAAATAATCCCTAAAGAAAGTTGGGGGTCACACAAGGTCAGGAACCACTTCTTCTCAGTCTACCCAGCCCTTCTCCTTAGCTGGGAAGCATCCCCCCCCACACACCCCAGTCCCACAGCCACAAGAGCACGGGATTCCTAGGGGCTCTGGGCTGACCTCTGGTACGTGCTCTTGGGTCCCCCATCCACAGCGGCCCCAACTTCTCTCGCCCAGCCACTTCCACTCACCCACGATGATGCCGCCCACCAGGGCCATGGCCAGGGACACAAAGAGACCAGCAGCCTGAAACTTGCCCTGCATGCTTGCGTTCCAGTTAGTCTTGAAACCATCAAAGCCAAAGGCAAGGGCAAACCTGGGGTGGAGATCAGGGGCAGGTCAGGGCTCCGCAGAGAGGCAAAGAAAGCACTTGCTGTCGCCCCACAAATGTGAGTGGGCACCAAGGCTCTGAGGCTTCCCGTGTGCACTGGACAGATCAGATGGTCCCTAAGGCTTTTGAGGAAGGACGGAGGTTGGGGAGAGAGGCCTATGGACGGTGGTTCAGATTGGGGTAGGCTAGGAATACAGACAGTATGTTGGACCCCAGAGGAACAGCAGGAAGGAGGGAGCTCAGGCTCCCCTGCCCCTCCTCCACACCTACCCGTTTACTCCATACACATCACTGGTGGCACAGGACGCCGTCACGGCCCCCACGATGGCGCCGATGATGCCGGGAATGCCATGCAGGTTGTGAATGCCGCATGTGTCCTGGATCCGCAGCCGGGCCTCCAGGAACGGCTGGACAGGGGAGACGGCTGTTACTCAGACCCTGAGCAGTGGCAGGGGTGTGGGCAGGCCCCAAACACACGGAAACCCAGCATCCTCCAGCCCCCAGGCCCTTCCCTAGGGACCCCCCTCCTGTCAGGAACACAGAGAGCCCAGGATTCTCCAGCCCTCAGCCCCTGGCCTGGGGTCCTCACCGTCAGGTACACAAAACCCAGGGTGGAGACAATGCCGCAGATGAAGCCAACGATGAGGGAGCCATAAGGCATGAGCATCATTTCAGCGGCCGTCCCCACGGCCACCCCTCCTGCGAGCGTGGCGTTCTGGATGTGCACCTGGGTAGGGCGGGGGGGGCGGGCCGGAGCTCAGTCCTCTCCCAGAGCCCGCAAAGCTCGCCGTGGGGGGCGGGGCTGCCGGCGCTGGGAGGCAGGGTTGACCCCCAGGGCACCTCGCGAGCCCGCAGACCGCGGAGGGCCCCACCCAGGCCCCGCTCCTGTGCTCTCTGCACATTGGGCGCCCACACCAGCGGGCTGACCATTGTCCATGGCCACCAATCGGCGTACTTGCGTCGGGGTGGGTGAGCCCCCTTGGCACGTCTGCACGTTCCCTCTAGCTCCGTGTGCGCAGGGGCGCATGTCTCCTGGTCTCTACGCTCACGTCTGCTGACGTCAGGCACCTGCGAGGCCCTACACGTGCGCAAACACCCCTCCCGGGGTCTGTGGGCCTGCAAGAGCACCAGCTGACCCCCTCTGAGGGCCGACCTGCACCCGGTACCGTGCTGCCCGCTGCGGGGAGGATTTCTGTCCGTCTCCACAGCAAGCCCAGGAGGTAAGGACAGTTATCTTTGGATGTTTGCAGAGGAGGAAATTGAGGTGCAGGGAGACCACACAGCTAGCAAGAGGCAGCAAGGTGTCTTGATCCGGGTCTGTGTGGAGCCAGGTCCCCTGACCTTGACCCTGTTCTGTGTCCTTGTCGGCGTGCGGGGGGTGGGGGGGGGTCTTGGGCGCACACAGGTGTGCCCATGTCGGTGTGTCTGATTCTCTTCCCTCTGATGCGGGGGGGAACCTAGTGTCAGACTAGGAAATAGAGAGGTGGTTTTCTTTTTATGGAAAAATCGACCAACACCTATGGGGTTTGGCCCCTCCCCACTAACGACAGAACAGTTTGTCCCAGTGGTCTGAGAGGAAGGACACTGTGTAACCTCATCCCCCCACAAACCTCCCCAGGGGAGGACAGGCATCAAAGGGGTCCCCTTTCTGAGGGTATGGGGCGGGGCAGGTGGAAGCAGCTTTAGGAAGGCTGAGGGCCAGTGTTTGGAGGATCAGAAGCCTGGCAGAGGGGAAGTGCCCCTGGCAACCGTACAGGGCAGGTCTGATGGGGTGCTCAGCCCAGAACAGCCATCAGCCCCCCAGGCTGGGAGGAGGAGAATGAGGAGGAAGAGCCGCTCATCCAGCGCAGCCAGTATAACAGAATCTGGGAATCTGGTTCTGGGCTCTGCCGAAAGCCAGCTATGGAATCCGAACAAATCATTTCTTCCCGAGACTAAGTTTTTTCATCTGCAGGATGGGTGTGATCATCCTGATGCTGCCTGCTGCCTGCCGCCTGCCTCACAGAGTCGTTGGCAGGGCATGGTGATCAGTGCGCACTGGGCACAGGCAGTCATAGTCACACCTGCCCCCAGGGCTCCCCAGGCTCCCCCCCCCGGCCCCGCCCCGCTGCTCACCATGTCCAGCTTGCCCTTCTTGTGCAAGGCGCTGGACAGCGCCACCGAGGTGAGCACGCAGGCTGCCAAGGAGCAGTAGGTGTTGATGGCAGCTCGGTGCTGGGCATCTCCGTGGTTGGACACAGCTGAGTTGAAGCTGGGCCAGTACATCCACAGGAAGAGGGTGCCTGGCCAGACCAGACAGGACCGGTGCGCCCGGGAGAAGAGGTGTTAGATGGGCCCAACGGAGCTTAGGCAGACATCCTGTCCTTTAGTTCCAGAGATGTCATATGACTCACATACCCCAGCAGTTTCCCACCCCTGCAGCTTTCCTCATGCTGGGGGCTCTGCCCAGAACATCCTCCCTGTCTTACTTACTACCTAACTTTTACTTAGCCCTCCACTCTGCTCCAGGAAGTCTACCCTGACCCCATAACTGGGCTAAATGCCTCCCACCTTGCTCCCATAGCACCATGAGGGAGAATCTTTTTCTCTACTGTAGTTAGATTGTCTTGTAACATTGCCCTCTCTTCCACACACTGTGAGGAGCTCCTTGAAGGCAGGGCTGGGTTTTAGGAGGCCAGAGCGGGTGGTTGATACGTATTCTCTGGAATGAATGGACACAGGAAGTAGGAATTCACACCTTGCCCTAGCCCAGGGGATGGACTGACCAGTTCCTAGTTACCACTTTGTCTGCCTTGGGGCACCCTAGGGAAAACAGGATGAGTGACCAACTTCTTCCAGCCCCATGGGAAAAAGGGACAAACATCTGGGATCCTGGAGGTGTCTACAGGCAACCCCCCTCTGCCTTTTCCCCAAAGGGAACTGCCTGCCACCCACCAGACCACGTGGGGATCAGGTTTAGTTTTGGTGGCCTGAACTCCTCATGGAGACCCTCACCCATCATGGTGGTCCTCACCCATCATGGCAGCCCTCAAGCATCATGATAGCCCGTGTCCATCATGGCCACCTTCACCCATCACGGTGGCCCTCAATCATTATAGCAGCTCTCACCAATCATGGCAAAGAGGTCCGAGTGGTACACAGCGCTCTGTCTCTCCTTGCTCTGCTGTAGGCTGGGTCGGTAGAGGATCCAGGTCACTGTGAGCCCAAAGTAGGCGCCAAATGTGTGGATGGTCATAGAGCCCCCTGCGTCCTTTACCTGGGGTGTAGGGATCTGTCAGGCTCTGATAGCTTCTCTCCCTCCTATCTGTTAGCACTTTCCATCCCCACCCCCGTGAAACACACACACACACACACACACACACATCTCCATCTGTCTCTGACTCCACAAGCTGCAGGATGGAGCCCAGGGCCCCCACAGACCAATCAGTTGGGAAGGTGAGAAAGCGGGGATCCCTGAGCCCACACTGTGAGCCTGTCAGCAGAATGCCAGAGCATCCTCACCCAGCAGATGGGACTGTGCCCAGATGGGGAAACCCGGGCTTGGAGAGGACCTTGCTCAGTCACACAGTGGGAAGAGGTGAAGCAGAGCTAGAACCCAGGGCCACCCCCTATCTAGTTTGTCACCCACTAGCTTCTACAGTATCTTAATTCCTGGGAGCCCTTCACTCCCCTCCAGGCCGCCCCTCCCCACATTTCTTCCTCCATAGCCACTCCTGGCCCAACCCCACTCCGTCTAGACTACCGCTTCTCATCTCCCCGGCATCCTGCCACACTCCTTGCCCAACAACCTCCCAGCTGACCGCCCACCGCCCACTCCATCCCCATCCTCCTCTCCCCTGTCCCCCCCCCCAGTCAGAGCATGCAGATTGGTTTCTTCCTCTTCTGTCCCTTTCTGCCCTACCCCACTCTGTGCTGCAAGTTCCTCCTTCACAAAGTCGGGGAGGCCAGGGTGCCTTACTTAGCAGGGCTGTGTCGAGGGTGAAACTAGACAACTCGTGTACAGCACCTGGGAAGTGCCTGGCATGCCACAGGCGCTTGGTTGGCTTAGCCTTCCTCCCCGTGCCCCCACCTTCCCTCTCAGCCTCCTGTTCCTCCCTACTCAGAACCAATCTCAGGGGAAATTCCAATCAGAATCAGAGACTCGCTCCTTCACTGTAGATGGGGAAATCCAGCCAGAGAGGTTAAGTGTGTTGTCCAAGGTCACAGAGCTAGTTAGTTGTTGACAGAGCTGGGTTTCCCGGTTCCCAGCCTGGCAGGTGCCTCTACTAGCCATGGGACCTGGGCCTAGCCCCTTAACCTCCGAGCCTCAACTTTCTGTTCTGTAAAGTGGGGGTAATAATTGCGCCTATCTCGGAGATGAGGATTAATGAGATAAGCCATGTGAAGCATTCAGAGCCGGGACCTGCCAAGGGCAAGTGCTCCTTACATGTCAGCAGTGATTGTTGTATTTTGACTTGGCACAGAGACAGGCCCAAAGGCTGTCAGGCATTCAAAGACTTTCTGTAGCAGGTTGGGAGGATTTTTGAGGGCCTTTTAACTCGCGCCCAAGATACTACATTCTCAGCCTATTTCAAATCACGCCCACTGGCCCCACTAGCTGCTTTATTCTCCACACCTCCCACCCCAGCCAGGCCCCAAGGCCAGCGTACTCACCTCTTTTATATCTGTCGAACTATCATCTCCTCCTTGTACTACCTCAGTCCCAGTCCCATTATCTCTCATCAGGGCAGCAAGGACAGCCTCCTAACTGGGCTCCCTGCTCCCAGCTGTTCTCCTTACCACAGCCAAAGAGGCGTTTCCATTCCATGTGTCTGACCGTGCCACTCCCCTGTCTAAAACCTTCCGTAGCTCCCCACTGCCCTCATGACAAAAGTTGAAACCATTTAATGCCATCTTCAGGAGCTTGATGATCCATGCTCCTCCCTCCATTACCCTTTCGAACATTCCCCCCACCCCCACCGCACACCCTCTTCCAGCCAGGTGGAGCCACCGGAGACCTCTCGCCGTGGGCCTCCCTCAAGGCCTATGCACTCACTGTTCCCCCTGCCTCACTCCTTCGCCTGCTTATTTCCCACTTGATTTCTAGCTTTGCCATCTTTTCCTCCAGGAAGCCTCCCTGACCTGTCCCGCTGGTACAGACACCCTCCCTTTAGGCCGTCAAGCCCCTGACCCCACTCCTCATCGTACTGCGTGGTTACTGTCTATTGACTTCCTGGCTCCCTCTCTAGATTGTGAGCTCCTTGGGTGCGGAGCGAGAGGTCTGCTCACCTCTGTATGGCAGCGCCAGGAGCATTGCTCAATGTGCAGTCAGACTCCAAAATGCATTTACTCGATAAACACTTGTTGAGCACTTATTAGGCATTGAACTAGGTGCTGGGAAACAGACGGTCCAGACACATCAGGTTTATCAGAGAAGAAGTGTTACGAAGAAAATAAACCGAGTCAATATGAGAGATAGTGACTAGGGCTCAGGTGGGGGGGGGCAGTAAGATAGATGGCAATGCTATGGGGTGGGGAGAATCTGGGAGGGCCTCTCTGAAGAGGCGATATCCCAGCTGAGACCTCAGTAATGAAAATGACTGAGGGACGAGCATTCCAGGCAAAGGGAATAGCAAGTGCAAAGGCCCTGAGGTGGGACCAAGCTTGATGTGTTGAGGAGCAGACAGCAGGGTGTGGCCAAAACACAGGAAGATGGGGAGAGAGTAGATTATAAGCTTGAAGGGAAAGGCTGAGGGCAGAACATGTGGGGCTTTATAACACATTTGGATTTTACGCAAAGAAATTTTAAAAACCACTGGAGGGTTTTAATCAGGGGAATGGTCTTGCATGCATTATTAACAGGTCTCCATGGCTGCCGGTGGAGGTTGGCCTGAGGCAGGGAGTGGGGCAAGGATGAAGATAGGGAGATGAGTTAGGAGGAAGAGAGATGGTGGCTTGGGCTAATCTGGTGGCTGAAGAAAATGACAAAATGAATGACTGAATAGTGTGACCTAAAAGAAAAAACAAAAAAACTCTACCCCTGTGGGGGGTGGAAGTGTTCCAGGCAGAGTCCAAATGTGGAGGAGCTGGGGGCTAAGAAATGGATGAAGTCTGTGAATGACCTTCACCCCTGCAAAGTACCAAAGAGGCCTCTGAGCTAGATTCAGAGGTCTAAGGTGCCTCTTACTTGGGTCATTGAATCGGCCAACTTCAAGGGGCATCATTCCTGCCATAGTCCATGTGAATGTCATCTCTGGAGTTGTGCAGGGCACAACCTATGCAGCTCTACATGTCCACCATAGCTATTCCCCTAGGATCCTTCCTTACAGATGTGCCCCCTCAATACACTGGGTCCTTTTCTTGGCAGAGCATTCTGGGAATGAGGTGTGTGTGCATCAGAGTGTGTGCAGGAACACCGACTCTTGCCATCCGATATGCAGGAACGAGAAAGGAGGGAGAAAACCACCATATGAGGAGCCCCTGCTCTGCCCAGGTGCTGGACTGATTTGCTAGGTGGACCACCATTCCTGCCCAATAAATGTCATTACTCTTCTTTTAGAGATGAGGAGACTGAGGTTCAAAAGGTTAAGTGGTTGGCTAAGGGTGAATTGAATCCAGCTGGCAATTGAATCTTCAGCCCTCCCTTTCTCTCCTTCCCTGCTGTCACCCCAAGTGTCCCCCGCCACCCCCATCCTGAGCCCTGCTCACCTCTAGCAGGCTGAGGAGGATGTACTCATTCACTGAAAAGAGGGTCACTTGGAAGAGAGTCATGATGAGTAGCTGGACGGGGCTGACTTTGCCCAGAACTGCCCCAAAGGCCACACAGACAGAGCCCACGCAGAAGTCGGCATTGATGAGGCTGCGGGGAGACAGGTCAGGGGAGGGGTGAGGCAACAGCGCAAAGTGGCACTCTGAGTCCTGGGTTTGAATCTGGACACGGTCATCTGTGTATTTGGCCTTGTGGCTTAACCTTTCTGAGCCTCAGTTTCATGGTGTGGTCATGAGCACATAACATCTTAAAGCTACTCTAGGAATGAGACGAAATAGCACATGAAAGGGGCAGCACAGCAATGTACCAGATGCCAGATGCCAGACCCTTCCCCTGTGGCCGCCATCCCAGCGCCCCCTCCTTGCAGGCAGCTTGTATTCAAGTCACCCAAGTTGTCCGGCTGCTGTTCTGGAACATGCCCCATATTTGGGGGCTTGCCCTGCCCTCCATCCTCTGCCTGCCCTTCTAGAACCTCCTCTGACTGTCTTCTCTTTCAGGAAGCCTTCCTGGATTCCTCCACGCAGATGTGGTGTCCACCTCCAGACCCTTATCTCTCACTCTACACACACCTCTCCTGCTGGCTACCAGGGCCCTGCTTGGGTTTGAGCTCTCATGACCTGCTCGTCACCTTACCTGGGAGAGGGGATCTGTGTCCAGGGAAGAAAGAGAGGCCTTCCTGCAGGAGGTACGTGGGGAGCTGGGGGCTCAGTGGAAGGGGGCAGGAAGGCCAACAGAGAGAATAGAGGCAGAGGAGCACCTAAGTTCTCCTAAAGTCTGGACCCTGAAAGCCCAGGCAGCCAGCAGAGGGCTGATGGAGAGGCAGACAGCCAGGTAGATGTCTTGTGGCCAAAGGAGAGCCTGGTTCCATCCACGTGCCTGCCTAACCCAGGCCTTCCTGTGCTCGGCCAGCAGCAAAGCTCAAGGCAGAATCATGAGAGTTGTTAATGGGGGGGTGGGTGGATATAGGGACAGTAGAGGCTACTTCCTCAAGACGTTCACATCCAGAGGAAGTGCCCTTGCCCCATGCTCAGGTGTGTATGAGAAAATCAGGAGGTGAGAAGTAAGAAGCCAGCTGATGGTTGGGCCAGGGTGTGGAATGGGAGCTGTTCTCTCAGGGTCCCTCCCAAGATGAGGATGTTCATTGGAACCTCTGCTTCACTATGACCTTTGTTCACTGCTGTGTCCCCAGGGCCTCACACAGGGCCTGGCTGAAGGAATCATGGCATTTACTAAGTGCCTGGCACTGAAATACCTGTTAGGTACTGCGTATGCCCTCCTGTACCACGTCTAAACCCGAGGGGACAGGTACTATTACTAGCCACATCATAGTGATGGAACAGGGAGGCTTAGAGAGGCCGAATTATTTGCTCATGTTCCCATAACTGTAGCCAGAAGACTGATCTGACAGAGGTGACCATCAGGAAGGAGTGAGGGGGAGAGCAGAAAAGCCCACACCTTGGGCCATCAGCTCCGGGGAGATGGAAGTTTGCATGTCACATCTCAGGAGGGCCCACGGAGGCTTGGGCAGAGCCCGTACAGGGCATCGCCCTACAGTGACAGGTAGGACCTGGAGGACTCTTCAGCAGGGACAGGACAGAAGCCAGGAGGAGGGTCTGGGGACAACATGATCATCCAGCCCTGAGCACCAGAATCGGCTCCATCTTGGTTGCTGCAAATCAATTCCCTGAAAGCCAGTTTGCCAAAAACTCAATTTGTCAAGTGACCAACTTGCCAAATAACTAGTTCACCAAAAACCTGCCAATTCACAAAGTTTACGATAATTCCCTTTGAAGATTTTTAAAAAGTTGTATACTTTTGTTTTTTCATCTAGCCATAGCTCTTTCGCTGGGGTGGCCAATTAAATATATTACAGGTGTTTTCATACTTTGGGTCTACGGCTTTGGGAGTGAGACTTTCTCGTGTATTTTGAACTGCATGTTGATATGCATGTCAACGATTTTATATACAAAACACTGACTTATTGATTCCAACACATTTTCTATCTAGTCAACTATTTTTCCAGTTTCTCTTAAGTCATGGCTTCACTGACCTGCTTGAGTGAATTCGTATCTTGCAAGTATTTGGCATGTTTTAAATTTCAGACACCTGGCCTATGACCCCCGGTTGATGCCCTCTATGTGACGTGGTTTTATGGCAGGTTGCCTCTAAACCCTTTCTGCGGACTTGGTCTTCCAAGCAGGCTAACGAGTGTTCGTTTGCACACCAGCCTCTTCGCCCTCTGGGCCCCGCTCCCGGGCCCCGCCCCAGCCCCGCCCCTTGCCTCTGGGCCCCGCCCCAGCCACGCCCCGCCACCCTGGGCCCGCCCCCGGGCCCGCTCCGCGCTCACTTTTCCACGCCCACGTGAATGTAGCCTTGGTAGTAGGAGTGGAACCAGCCCTGCATGAGCAGCGCCCACTGGATGCCGAAGGCCGCCAGCAGGAAGTTGAAGCCCACAGAGCTGTAACCGTAGCGCTGCAGGAAAGTCATGAGGAAGCCGAAGCCCACGAAGATCATCACGTGCACGTCCTGGAAGCCTGCAGGGAGAGCGCAGCCCGGGGTCTCGGTGGCCTCGCCCGCCCTAGCCCTGGGCCTGGGCCAGCGCCGCCCGGCGCAGCGCCTGGTGTCTTCCGGGCCGCCGGGCCCCCAGGTGGTCTCCCGAGCCCCCTCCTCCCATCTCTGCATCTGGATCCCAGGGCTAGGCGCAGTTTCTGCAGGCAGAACGGCCACTACCCGCATCTTGTCCTCAGAACCTCTGGAGGGGGCTGGGCTTGGGGGAACTGAGGTGAGCCTCCCACTTTAGACCGCTTGTTCTAATGCCAAGACGTGCCTGAGCGTCCCCTCAGGAGAGGACAGCTTTGTCTCTCCACCCTCACCCAGGGCGGGGGTGGGCAGCTGGGCGTTTGAAATTGAGGCCAGGCTGTGGCTCACACCTAGAATCTAGGGTCTAGAACCCAGACTTTCTGCGGCCTTGCCCCCTCAATCCATTTTTTTAGTACAGAGAAGTTAGTCTCATCTGGGTCTGAGTCTCTCCAGGGGCCAAGCACATGAGTTGATCATCCCCCCCACCCCCGCCCCACGAATGTCACATCCCCCCTCCACCCCCTGCAAGTACACTTTGTTGTATCACTGAGACCCGAATTTGGGCCCCAGTTCCTCCATCTGCTGGGCAGATGACTCTGGAAAGTCAGGTAACATCCTTGGGTCTCAGTGCCTTCTGTAATGCTTACTTACAAAGCCTGCAGAGATTAAATGCAGCAGTGTAGGTAAACCATCTCGCAGTGCCCATCCCATAATAGGTGCTCAAAATGGACAAGTGTCATTATTATTGTTGCTTTATTATTATTTATTGTTACTTAGGCATAGGCTAATTCTGCTTTTTGAACCAACTCTTCCACCAGCTCTTGGGGTGTGGCCTTGACAAGCTACTTCCCCTCTCAGAGCCAGTTTTCTCCATAAAACCAAAGGATGGATTAGAGTGATCGTAACTGTCCTCCCAGTTGCCTGATTCTAGAGTCCCAGAAAATAATAGAAGGCAAGGAGCTTTGGGAAGCAAAGATGGGTACAAAGATATAAGGCGCTAAGAGGATCTAGTGGTGTCCCAGGACACAGGAGCCAGATTGAAGGGTTCCCATTGGCCAAATCTGGGATGGTTTGAACACCAAAATAACTATGTACTGTAGTAAATTAAAACTATTAGGAAATAGGAACTCAGAATAGGAAATAAATGGGAACGCGGAGAGGGCTCTTGCTTGTAACTGAATGCTGAGAGCCAGACAGCTAAATGTGGAATGAGCGCTGAAGTTGGAAAATCGTGATTTTCACAGTAAAGACTCCATCAGTGGATGCTAAATCCAGGAGGAAATTTTGATGAAGAGCAGAACATTTGCAATGTCTTCAAGAGTCTTCCCAAAGACTGTGAGTTGCAAGGGATTGAAAAAAACAACCCAGTAATTATGAAGTGGAGAAACAGGACGACATCTCAACTGGGTGATCAAAATTAACCTCACCCATGAGGGACAGGTGGATTATCACGGGCCTTCAGATGTGATCATCTGAAGGAGACTTATCACCTGTATGGTATTCTAGCCCAGCAGGTATTATCCCAGTCTACTCACAAGGAAGCATCACACAAATAGAAAATGAGTAATGTGCAGTTAGAAGGGGGGGTGGGTGGGTGAGGATTTCGTCTTGAAAAAGGTCAATGTCATAAAAGACAAAGGCTGCAGAAATGTTCCAAGTTAAAAGAGACTAAAGAGACATGCCAACTACATTCACTCCCTAACTCTGGACTGGATCCTGGATTTGGTGGGGGGGGGGAGTGCGAGGAGAGCTGTAAAGGTTGTTATTTTTTTTTTTTTAAGATTTTATTTATTTATTTGAGAGAGAGAATGAGACAGAGAGAGAGAGAGCACGAGATGGG